ATCATTATGCAGCACTGACCTCTAAAGTGACGCCCTTTTTATTGAGATTTATGCTGTAGAAAGTCAATCTTTATGCTCCCCCCTATTCCCCAACCCAATACCTCTCTCACAGCTATATTCTATTAAAGTCTGCGTCTCCGGTCATAATTCATATCCAGCTGTGGTTCAACACACCAAAGGCTCTACTAACACTTCTATGGAAATTGTGAAAATCAGCATATTGAAACCAGTTTTCCAACTAAAACATGAAAAAATGTAGTCCTTTAATTCGACACGGTATCCTAAAAACAACCTGCACTGCAATCGTAATTTGGGCCAAAACACAGAAAAGTCTGGATCAAAACCTATTTTACGCCCACGAAGCACTGACAGAGTGGGGAGTTACCTTTGGCCACTTTCTAGTCCGCACGAAAACAGTGGAAAAGCTGGTTTCTTTATGAGCAGACACACACATAAAGGACAAGCTGTTCAATGTAAAAGAAAAAGTGAAAGTAAACCGTGTTCAGTTGGTGAACATACAGCTGACATTACAGTTTCTTGAGCTTTCTTTTCCTCATAAAAAAATACAGCTGGTGATATTCTTTATTTTTGTTATCATCAACAAACCCAAACAACGTCGTTGGCTCTCCGCTCCGAACACGTTGCTTCCTGCTGACGTAAATCTTTAACAAACTGTTCACAAATATAGTTTCATTTAAAAAACCATTTCCTTACACAGCTGGGCACTATAGTTTTTATTAGCAGTCACACAAACAGGAGTAAATAAAGCATTTTGGGGCTCTAGTGAGAATTTGGGGCAGCAGGACGATACATACTGTTAGAAGAATATAAATATGATGTGGACCCCTTAAGACTCTTTTCTTATGGTGCAGGTGTGTATTAATACAAGTTTAAACATTCATTAAACTTTCATTAAATGTGTTCTGCAAGATAAATTTCCACAGTGACCAAACCTCCAGCTGGTAGGTTAAATTAAACAGTTTCACGAAGCGGACTGGAGCGCACAGAGCTGCAGTCTGGCTCCGACAGCGATCTGCAGCAGTTGGAGTGTGAACAAGTCTGCTGTCCATTTTGTTAGCAATTTAAACTGGCAGACAAACTGGTGCCAGCAGCCAAATGGGAATCACCTTGGTGCAAAAAAGGGTTTAAAGCCATTATATATATCAATGCCAAGTCTGGGGACAAACTGTTTGCTGTTTTTTGTAGGTCACTCAAACAAACAAACTCAAAGCTTTGGTATATAGCTTTTAATTCAGTAATGAAGTGTTTGTAATCGGTTTCATGAAGACAAACAGGTGGAAGAACTATATACTTTCTATTTCAAATGTTTAGATTTTAAGCATTTCATTTATATTCAAAGCCAAAAGATCAGTTCATAGCAACACAATGTGTTTTTTTTGCCAGACATTATTTCACCTGACTACAGCCACACAACCAGAACACACTTTGGAAATCCTGGAACTATATAACACCAATCTGGTTGGGAGGTTTTCTCCCCATTTGGCCTCCCTCCAGGCTAAACCAGGTCCTGACTAATGGGTCTTTACAGCCAACACAGCTTTACTGTCTAGGCTACAGAGCTGTTGAAAGACAACCCCATCAAACACGGAGGGAAAGGGTGGACGTGAAGAGGGGGAGCGAAGAAAAACTGGGGTGTGAGAGAGAGACGGGGAACGTGTGAGGAAAGAGAGACGAAGAAACAAAGATTTATGATGCTTAAGGAAAGTGCAGAAAAGGAAAAACTCACCTTTATATATAATGTGATATGTTCTGACTCTGTGGACTTTGGTATATTACATGCTGGTAAAAACATTGAAGTTTTGTTCCCATAGGGGGAATCAGTTCTCCAGTCGGGACATTTTACCACCATCAAAGAAAAAAAATCTAATTTATAACAAAAACCTGCACGTCATTATTCACAGCCTTTAACAGCCAAGTATTAAAGTTATAGAAGCTCACATTACCAACATCTTTCAACTATTCCATGATACATTTTAGGTAACTAGCTGTCAGAACATACAATAAGGTTGGGCTGAAAATGTTAAAACTAAATATTAAGCCAAATACCGGACCAGAACGGTAATACCAACTTTTACCACTATGATTGCGAGCAGAAGACAATGACAGCCGTGAATGAGAGTGGACACCTTCCTGCAAATGTTTCACAATAAAAGCCTTGTGAAGAAATAGGCTTTTTAATCTATAATTAGTGATGAAGTGTGGTGTTTGTATTAACACTGTAATGCAAACAGGATTCCTTCTACATTACTGACTGTGCGAGTTAGCTTTATATCTCTTAATTGTTCAGTTGACACAAAATCAAACCGGTTTACGAACCGTCAAAACCTGAAACCGACCCAACCCAAATGTACAACACTACAAATATCCTTTTCAGAAATAATCTCTCGATGATCTTTGCTTTATTTCACTCCTGATGTGGGTCACAGAGCAGCACAACAAGGCCAGGAACTACTTTTCATATTTGGATCCAGGTCTGAAACTGTGTAGAGGGAAGAAGAGAGAAAGTGGGACACTTACTGCCGGGGGGTTGGTCGTCCTGGTCATCTGGGAAGAGATCGTCCAGAGTCTCTTTACTAGAGTCAGAGTCCTTCTCCTCCTGAGAAGGAAGAGGAGGAGAGGAGGAGAGGAGGAGGAAAAGGGGATACAGTTAGAGGACAATAAACGTACTTACTACTACTTATTTCTCTGCTGATGCCGTCGTTCTGTAGGCTGGGTGTGTTAAAATACTTGAGATTGTTTATATTGATAACTCGTAATGGACTGCTGAGTCGGTGGGAGAGAAGGTACAGCGGGGAATACAACTCTTTAAAGTAATGGGAGCTAAATGCTGAAACATTCCTGATAATCCTGGAGAGACAAAACAAACCCAACTTGTTTAAAAGCAGAACATCTACTGTTCAGTGTCGAGACATGAGAGCTTGTTCAGAATCCTGACATAAGTCAAATAACTCAGACTGAAAAACAGATTCTTGCCTGATGAAGCCAAGCTGAAGTCAGAACAAATTAAACACTTTTTTTGTTTGACTCATGCGAAGTCCAGGAGTTTTTCCTTTGTTATCATTTGACATTTTCTCAAGAACTGCTGCACTTTCTTAAACGACAAAGAATCTGGAAAATGTTCATGTTCTCCGTGTTTTCCAACATTAAGTGTAGTTTTATTATAATGCTGACTTTATTGTGAAGTCTCCGTGCGGATATGTGTTCTCCGAGTTCCTTATGGTTTGCAAACGTGACCGAAACAAAGAGGACACCGGCTGATCTTACCAATGATCTCTGCCTTGTTTTGGTTATTCTCATCAGTAGTGTCAGCTAATTGTTGGAATAATAACTTCCAGGCTTTAAACGCAGACACACGACCACCGAATCTGCTGCATTCTTGCATCGAATGTTGGGTTTATCTGTCTGATGGTGAAGAAGACCTGAGGACTCACAGATGGGGACAAGTCCTCGTCGTACTTCTTCAGCTGGTTCATGAACTCCAGGTGCTTCTTCTCCTCCTCCAGCTGGGCCACGCTCTGCTCGCTCTTCTGCAGTTTCTGCTGCGTCCCGGCCAGCTCGTCCCTCAGCCAGTGGTTCTCCTGGCAGAGCCGGTGTACCTGAGCGCGAAGCTTCTGCTTCTCCGACTCCACCGAGCTCAGGTGGCTCGACAACGCCATCATCACCTGGACAAAGAGGAGGTTTTTGGATGTTTGAGTCTCGTTTTTAGGTTCAAGAACACTTCAGAACAATATTTACACTACTTTTCTAGCCATTTATTGATGGCAACAACAAAACCTTTTTGATTTCTGTCATATTCAAGCGTATCTCAAGATTTTTAAGTATCATGATACCAAAATATATAATGGAAAACGTACTGGCTGTACTTTTAACAGAAGGAGCAACTTATTCCAACATTTTAAGTCCAATAGTGACAGATTCATTGTGCAGTGTAATGTGCTGATGTTACTGTGAGGCACCTAACAGCACGCGCTCTAAGGTGAAAGGCTGGGAGGGGTGTAATTACAGAACGGGTCTGAGGCACAGAGACATTAGGGTTGTTACGGCAGGATGATTATGCAGAAACTGTACTTTGTCACAACTGCGAGCTGCACAAAAAGCCGAAGGTGGATATTAGAGTGTGCATGGTGCAGTGTTTTGTATATTTAATAGACAAAGCCTGCTGGGAGATGGAGACGAGAGGCTAAAAGTTCGACTGACTCATCAGTGACTCATAGGCCAGTGTTTGCAAATTGAGCAATGACGTAAAACTTTCAAACTTTCTCTAGAAAATCTGTATTTTAATTTTTTTTTGTGCTGTGAAAGCTTCTCTTTAGTTTCTGTTCTCTTTCTTCGGGAGGATTTGACGAATATGTGGGTTTTTTCCACTTCAGGAGCGGAACAACAAATTATATTAAAAAGCAACGTGGTGTTTGACTTAAACAACTCTGCATGGGAATTTGTGTGTATGTGTTGTTTGCTTGGTCTGTTATTATGTACAATCATTACAAGACAAACTGCTGTCAACTAAAGGGCAGTCCACACAAACAGCATTTTTTAAGTGTTTCTGGAGCTTTTTTTTGAGTCTGCCGCTCTTCTTTCTCAGGAAACCGACACGTTTCTGTTTTAACAAATGTATGAATCCACACCTCTAACATTTATTCCACATTGTCTGATATTTGTCAGCCTGAAGACAGTTTGTGTGCTGCTGACTGATGTGAGGACAGTGACACCGTGGACTGAGCCTTTATGCCCCGCTGATGAGCGCGTCTGACGTGAATTTGGGCTAAAAGCAGCCGATACGTCCGTCCAACAACAAAAATGTTAACCTTATTTTCTTAAAGTGTACAAATAACACACCAGTTAAAACCAGTTTCCCCACATGTAACTTTACTGGAGGAGCCAGAGAGGATTACAGTTAAAAACCACTGTCTATCTGACGTGCTGCGCTCGTCTTTGCTGAATTTTTCCCAGTTTTATCAAACTATTTACATGCAGCGTTTCAGATAAATAAGAACAAATACCAGTTTGCTGGTACAAAACCCTTAGACAAACAAAAGTGGTTGAATCTGTGCTGAAACTCACTAAAACACTGAATCTCACAATCTTCTTCCCTCTTAATA